GTATGTATGTATGTATGTGTACGTATGTATGTATGTGTACGTATGTATGTATGTGTACGTATGTATGTATGTATGTATGTATGTATGTATGTATGTATGTATGTACGTATGTGTGTATGTGTGTATGTGTGGTTGATTTTGAATATATGCAACTGAGGCACTTAATTGCATGTATTCATTTCCTCAGATATATATGTTTGTATATATGCACGCATGTATGACTTTCTGACTGTTAGCATGTATATGTATGTATGCATGCATGCATGCCTATGTGCATATTCCTTGTGTAAGGTATGACAAGTACCAGAAGCTGACAAAGTACTGGTATGAAGAGGATCTGGAGATGGATTGGGAGAAGGAGAAGTCTCGTGAGGCCAATGAAGAAGGTGAGTATGAAACTGCGACTGATGCTGCCTCCTTCCTGGATGCCCCGCCTATCGAAGCCGACCTCAACCAAGCCGCACGAGGCGCAACATCTAGGATTCTGCATCACCAGTAAACTACTACAACCCGGCTAAAGTAGCTAATCCTCCTGTTGCCAACCAAGTCCACAGGCATGGATGGGAGTGGCTCCAGCGGCCAGAATCCACCCACGCCGGCTCCGGGCAAGCAGCAGGCGCCACTCCTGCCCGCGGTCATGAAAGATGCCCAGCCCTCGAGCGTGATTACAAAGTTCATGGATGCTCTGGCTAAGAGAATGAACAAAATCGCCGAAGCTTAGCTATTTCAGATCGCTGCAGCCTATCAGCTTCCATTACTCGTGGTAAGAATCTCGGCCACACAGTCGACGTCTTGTAAAACCCAGGAAATCAAGGAGAAGTACTCCAGCATCGATGCCAAGCTGTTGACCAACTGCCACACGCAGTGACTCAGCTCAACACACATGGTTATGTTTCGGAATTTGTTTGCTTGTTCGGGTTCTCAGGATCGTGACGAAGTGTGACATGTTGATGATGAAAGTGGAGAAAGTCCTGGACGATATCCGGTCAATTTTCTCCAGTGGTGCTGTGGAGGGCTACGATCCTACGTGGCTTGACAATGTTGCAAATTGTCGTGTGGGGCTATACTAGTTATTTGTACTTGTGCCGTCGTTTTTGTGCCCGTTTCTCAGGCACGAGGAGCAGCTTCGTGCAGCCTACAAGGTAGCTGCCAGTGTGAGCTCCACTGAGAATACGAGTGTAGGACTCATGATATGGTTCATATTGCATGTGCTCTCCGAAATGTGCTCTGCCTCTGTATTTCCGAACAACAAACTAAGGACACAGGAGACCGTGACCCTGGAAGTGCGTTGCCGCTCGGTGCCTGTGCCAAAAGCACAAGCACAGCCCAAAGCCAAGGGTCGGGGTAAGGGCAAGGGCAAGGGTGCCAAAGGCTCCTCGGGACAGCAGGGCGGCAACGGCGAGGCACCTGACGGGGAGGCTGCTAAGGGCAGCTCAAGGCGCAGGAGGTAAACGAATGCCCAGCTCGATCGCTTCAACTGTCCATCCCTGAGGGTTTTGTAGCTTGTGTATCCATGTTTCAGATGTTGTACTAGGGGCTGCAAAGACGAGTTTAGGTCTTTACTTGCAGTAATCGCCGTGACTGCTCTGGGTGCGACAGATGCTATATCAGGCAGGCGTGCCTGGTTTTCCTGCAAACCGTCAGTGAGGCGTTGTCAGCTTCCGACGGATGATATCTGCACTTTCACGTTCAGCGCTGCTTCATGTCGAGCGGGGCTAAGATGAAAAGAAGACCCCACATGCCACTCTTACAGTCTCTGTTTGTGCAACTCTTCGGGGCCCCTGCTATCGTGCTGGTGCTTGTGCCAGGTGAAGACAACCGCCCTCGTGTGGGTGCCGTGCTGAAGAGCATGGCGAAAGCTCTCGCCAGTGGAGCAGGGTGCTTACAGGAATCTGTTTGCTAATCTAGGGGACCATAGCACAACCTGAGCTCTGTAATCCTTTCTGTATGATCGATATGCAAAACTTAAGTCTGCCCGGCATATAACCAACAATGTCCAGCAACCCCGGGGTCCTTAATAATTGACCAATTTTATAGCCCTCGATGTTTTTGACTGTTTGAATAGTATGTTTGTCCTCGGCCCAACTATCGAGATTAAATAGCCAAGTCCGTTAGCCGTGAATATCCCCGGCTTCGTAGTGTAACCCCTCCATAAACCAAACCAACTTTCAATTGTCAGAAAGTGTTCCAGATTATCCCAAATATCAAAGTCAGGAAAAGCCTCCCGTGTATTTCCAGGATGAATATGTTGTAAAGCAGAGACCGATCATCGACCCACACCCACGAAGATCTAAGTGAAAAGCTTAACACGCAAATGAAATCAATGATCCTCGTTTGTTGAAATTACAAACCCTCTCCCGAGACTCGAGAACTCCTCTATGTATATGAGGCAGTTTCGGTGCTACTGATCCCAGAACGCTAGCCTATAGTGTTCCGGATCCCTCCCAGGCCCCAGCCGCCGAGTTGCGGCGGCAAGCCAAAGCTTGCCTTGATGATCTACCAGAGCACCTCCATCCAGAGCCGCTGAAGCGCTTCGCGGCCAGCCCAAACATGAACACCTCGGAGCGGGACTTGTTGAGAGTGTTAAGAGATGTAGATCTGGTGCTTCCCCTGGCTGTGAACACCTTCGTTGCCAATGCTGTTATGGTTCATTACATCAAGCTGACAACCTGGCTCCGTTATTTGATGAATGTCCGTCAAGGAGGTCTACTTTTGGGAGGGTTTGCTCCTGGTGACCACTTCGCCAAGGCTTGCTTGCGAGGCTTTTGGGAAGCCTTTGAAAAAGAACGACCAGGTCATGCTGTGTACGAACTGCATAGAGGAAGGCTAGACAAAGTTCTCCCTTACGCACTTCACCTAGACGAGGGCCGGGGATTGAGGAAGTCGGCTGTACTGGTGGTCCACGCACAGACGCTTTTCGGTGCTGAGACGAGACGCAACTTCGAGCAAGAGCTGAACTTTCGATGGGTGGATGGGCTTAGTCATGCTGAGATTATGGATATCATGTTGCGAAACCAATTTCATAATGCTCGAGGATCCACTTACAAGACACGCATGCTGTACACCATCCTGCCAAAAGCTTCCTACACCAGGCGGAACAAAAACGTGTACGGCGCCATGCTGGATAAGATCCGCGAGGAAGCCACCTCGCTGTTGGAGGATGGGTTCACATTGCAAGATGGTAGCCGCTACTTTGCATGTCTAGTGGCGGTCAAAGGCGATGCGCCGGCGATCGCCAAGGCCGGCAACCTGGACAGGAATTTCCAAAACCTCGGGAACCCACTCTGTCCTGAATGCCTAGCTGGAGCACCCGGTGTCCCCTTCGAGGATTGTCGACCCGACCCGACTTACGAAGCTTCAATCTTCACCCAAAGCACCAGAAGCCTTGTATCTACGAGATCCTTTCCACATCTACAAACAAAATTTGGGAGGCTACTTCAGTGCCTCCTCCATTGTCTTGATTGCCGAGCTTGGGTATTGGAACAGCGATAGCAACAACTTTGACGATGTCATGGAGAGAGCCTATGAGGACTTCGCCCACTACGTGAAGCATGACTTCAGAGGTGGAGGTGTACCGCATCTCAAACACTTCACTCGCACGAACCTACATTACCCACGTACAAGTTCCTTCCCCTACATGCGACCAAAGGGAAGTGATATCATGCTGTTGACGAGGTGGCTCGGCTTCTTGATGCTCCATGGTCCTCTTCTTGGTGGTGCTCGAAGCAACGGAAACATGATTGACAACCCACTAGATGCTTCCCATGCTGGGTTTTTCAGGAACATCTCTGCAGCCTCGACGGCGGCTGCAAAGTTTTTTCGGGTCATACACAACCGGGGCCTTTGGCTCAGCAGAGAGTACGCGCAGCAAGTGAAAGGTGCCACACTTCAGTTTGCAGAAGCCTATTCTCAATTGGCAATGCAGTGCCACACAGAAGGAAGGGCCCGATACTCCTTGGTCCCATCTTTCCACTACTGGCACCATTTCTATGTCGACGCTAAGCGACAGCTACGGGATCCCACTCGTCAGTACCTTCTATCAGCGAGCATCGGTTCGTGTGAGGCGGACGAGGATTTCATTGGCAAAGTTAGCCAAATGTCGAGACATGTCCACCCTGGTGTAACAAACGCCAGGACGATCGATCGTTACCTCGTGCGCATGCATTTTGTTATGGACGAGGATGATTAGGGGATATCAGAACAAAGCTCCTTAAGCCTAAAACCGGCCCTGTAATCTCCAATGCCTTATATTCCATCTTCCGAATGCATCCTCTGCTGGCGAGATGCAGCTGGGACTCGGCAGGCTGCAAGAAGAGCCAGGGATCGGCATGTTTTGGGCGGGGGAAAGGTTCTCGGGTTATCTAGTTGGTGTGATAGTATATTTATTGATGTCATGGGCTTTGGTCTGCATGGGGTTGGAGCTGAAGTTGTGGGAGATCGAACTCCGAAGCTGAATATACAGATTGAACGTGAGAGCTTCCAAGCCTGTCTTGAACTTCGATACCGAGATGCATGCCAATATCAGATTTCAACTTTGTAATGAAGTAGTTCAACTCCGAAGAAATGTTGGAAGGAACATAACAAGATGAGTCATGGATCTTTTTTACCAATAGTGTCTTGGAATGTGCGCTTTCGTACTATCATGTGCAAGAAGATATACACAACAAGTCATGTGCAAAAAAAACAGTACCCAGGTTACTCTAGGTAAACCCTAAACCCTAAACCCTAAACCCTAAACCCTAAAACCCTAAACCCTGGATGTTCAACATGCATCGGGGGAATCGTGCTCGGTCTTGCCTTTTGTGGAGCGGTAAAGCAGTGCCTCCTTTCCATCGCAGTGGCTAGGGATTCGGGTTTGGGGTTTAGGGTTTAGGGTTTAGGGTTTAGGGTTCTATAGGGTGTGTATACAGTGTGCGCGCAATGGGTGCGCCAGCTACTTTATCACGCGCTTGCGTCAGCATGTAGTCCCGCCCAACCGCCCCAACTATTCTTAGTTAGGGTTCAGTGTTCACCCCCTGAACCCCCTCAAAGGGGCCTTTCTTGCTCTTGGTTTCCCTTCGACACATAAACGACCACACGTCACAGCAAACCACAGCTGAGATGGATTGGTGTCCAGTTGTGGGTTGGGGGCTCTATCCTCCCTCACCATTCTGACGAGACGCTCGGCCGGGGGCCTCGGTCGGAGCCTCGAGGGCCCATGCAAATGGTCGGCGGCGCTCTCGGCAGTTTAGGGTTTGGGGTTTAGCCCTGAATGCTAGGCTTCAGAATCGTATGCCTGTGTGTGTAATTGCCTGCGAACGCCAGGATTCGCAGGTTTAGAGCTTAGGTTAACTTATCAGGTTCATTCAGGATCCTACCGGACACCCCAAAACCCCTCAAAACCCAAAGCCCTGAACCCTAAACCATCTATCGGCTTCAAGCAACCCTTGCAATAAATGGCTTCGTTGAGGTTCTTCGCCGGGCTTTACATGGGCTCGTTTAAGGTGCAGGGTCTCGTGTCTGGAGCACGCAAAGGGGCCGGAACCATAACAACGGGGATATACATGAAATACGAACACAGGACGTGTTGCATCAAGCAGGACCTTGTGCGAGTGTGTCAATGTCTACGTTATCAGTTCGCCCAATACGTTGCTTCGAAATCCTGGGTTCGCACCGGAAACCACACAACCTGCAATTCTCAAGTTTTTAACCTTGAGCTGAAGCTCAAAGTAGCCTACAGCCCTCATTATAAACTCCAAATGACCCAGGCTTGAGGGCTTAGGGGTTAAGGGTCTCGGGGTTTAGGGAAAGCAGATTTACACCACGGCACTCAATCTCTGAACCCCCAACACAAAAAGGCCCATCGCCATGAAACCCTAATCACTAAACACCAAACCCGCGTCCCCTAAACCGAGGCGCTCCTTTGACGGTTCAGGGTTTAGGGCCAGTTTAGGGTTTAAAGTTTAGGGTTTAGGGTTTAGGGACTAAAACCCTTCGTCCCAATACCCTATGCTGTCTCTGTTCAAGTCTTAAGCCTCAAAGCCACTTCCTTGAACACCAAACCTTGCAACAAGCTGTTCCGCAGAAAGGCACCCTAAACTCTGCGACTCAAACCCAAAGCAGCAGTTCACACAACTAGGGCTAAAGTTTAGGGCTTCTATAGTTAACCTGGGTTTATGGTTTAGTGACTAGTAAAAAACCCACGCCCTCATTTAAAGGAAACTACAGGTGGGGAGTTCAGGGCATATAGGGCTTCTTATAAGGCTTCATAAGGTATATAGACCTTCTATAAGGCTCCTATAACGGTAACTACCCACCTGAAAATGTCCTAGATTCATGACACCCTCAACCCTAAACCCTAAACCCTAAACCCTAAACCCATGGAAGGTTATGGAAGGTACGAAAACGAAAACAAGCTGGCTGCGAGGCACCTGGCCAAGGCGCTTCTCGTTCTTGCCACCTGCAATATTCAAGTTAGGGTTTAGGGTTTAGGGTTTAGGGTTTAGGGTTTCGGGTTTAGGGTTTGAGGTTTAGGGTTTATGGTTTAGGGCTTGGGCCTTAGGTTTCTGTTTTAGGGTTTAGGGGTTAAGGGAGAAAGCTAGAAACTGCCACTGAGATTCCAACCGTTTAGGGTTTAGGGTTTAGGAGATTAGGGTTTAGGGGTTTAGGGGTTTAGGGGTTCAGGGGTTGAGGGGTTCAGGCGTTTAGAGGTTTAGGGTTTAGGGTTTAGGGTTTAGGGCCTAGGCCTTAGGTTTCTGGTTTAGGGTTTAGGGACTTAGGGATTTAGGGGTAGCTTGGTCGCCAAGCGTGGACTGCCTTTTGGGGTAGAGGTTCAACTTGAGTAAGAGTTTAGGGGTGCCTTGCAGCGTAATTATAGATTGATATAGTAAAACCCTAAACCCTAAACCCTAAACCCTTTTGCCAACAGTTGTCAGGCCCATACAAACTAGTCAGGCCGTTGAGCTCCCTGCGCTCAACAAACGATTAAGGGTTTAGGGCTTTTGGCAACAGATCGCCCTTCCGGAAGCTGCACTATGCTGAGGTCTTTCTGTTGGTCGTTTCGTCTGATTCAAGGTACCCAGGAATGGTTCTGCTCAGCCGAGCCGTTCTGCAGTCGGAAAATCGTGTGAACATCGGGTTTGGGGCTTAGGGTTTAGGTTTACTTCGCGTTCCCTGCTCTGCATGTTGACTCTTGCTTTGCTCCCCACGTGGCCTAGTGGTCGGTGGTGTGCATACGGGCTTTGAGAAGGCTGCTTACAAGGGCTTAGGGGTTTAGGGTTTAGGGTCTAGGGTTTAGGGTTTAGGGTTTAGAGTTTAGGGTTTAGGGTTTAGGGTTTAGGGTTTTGGGTTTAGGGCTTAGGGTCTGAAGGTACCCAAAGGACCGCGTTCCTTAGCCACCCCAGAGGTCCGGCAGCAAGCTGACAACAAAGCTAGGCATCGCCTTCCTCTACAAAGCCTCAGCCCCTTAGGGACCTTAATAGTTAGAATATAGGGGCCTTAATAGTTAGAACTGAACCCCTTAACCCTAGTAGAGGGATCTTAATCGTTAGAATTCAGCAGCTTCACCCTAATATAGGGACCTTAGTCGTTAGAACTCAGTCCCTTAACCCAAGCCAAGCCCTATCCTGAACCCTAAATCCGGGAATTGGACTCCGGATCCACAAATTTTCATGGAAATCCCCAAACCCTCAAACTCTCAACCCTAAACCCTAAACCCTAAACCCCTAAACCCTAAACCCTAAACCCTAAACCCTAAACCCCTAAGCCCTAAACCCCTCAACCCTGGACCCTACGCCTCGAATCTTCGGCCCTAAGCCATCTTGAAGGCGGATTGGATCTGCGGCTTGGGGGATGTTATCGTGCCTAAAGTGGGGTCAACAAGCCCTAAACCTCTCCAACCTAAACCAGCAATTAACCACTACTGTAGGGGCCTTCCAATACTTAGACTAGGGTTTTGGGGGCTCCTTATTTTAATTATAGTATACTATACCCCCAAGCCCTATTCTGATTATTAAGGCCTATATTACATCCCCAACCCTAAACTGGGCTGCTGGCCGTTGAGATAGTTCCCGAAAGCCAGCACCAAGCTCAGCAAGAAGGGAATCTCCACCGATGTGAGGAAACCTCGGCAGAAGGAACATTAGGGCGTCAGCTGACACTTTCAGGAGACTTTACATCACCTAAGCTTAGACCCTGCAGACTACAACCCTATCATCCTACTGTATATAACACAGCTAATAATTAGAATAGGGTTTCGGGGTATATTCTACTACAATTATAGTAAGGAACCCCTCAAACTAGTATAGGTAATTATTAAGGCCCCTATATTACCCCCCGACCCCAAAACCCTTTTCTCACCAGTGCTGTCTTCCGCAGCACAGCTGCCGCACGAAGGTCCAAAAGCAGGTCAGCCCATATGCAACCAAAACGTCTCTGAACCCACGGCCAGCAAGCCGAAAGGGTTTAGGGTTTAGGGTTTAGGGTTTAGGGTTTAGGGTTCAGGGTTTAGGGTTTAGGGTTTAGGGCTTTCTGTTTCAAACCATCAGTTAAACCCAAGGAAAGTAAGGCTTCTTCGCCGGACCCTTGGCCGAATCTTCGGCTCACGGAACTCGACTGATGCGTGGTTCGGGGGTCCTGCGAAGATATCGAAGATGAGACCCTATCAAGGCCCTGCACCTCAAGAAGAAAGCCCCCAAACCCCCCCAAAAAAAACAAATGCACCAAAGCCCTACAAAACTCTACCTAAACCCCTACAGCGTGACGACCTCAAGACCTAAAACCCTCAAGCCCATCAAGCCCTGAACGTTAAAACCCCAACACCCGAAACCCCGAAGACCCTAAACCCTAAACCCTAAACCCTAAACCCTATAACCCTCGGAGTGCAGCAGGGAGCCTCAAAGAACTAGAAGCACCCAAACCTACACGACGTAAGGTAATGTAGGGTTTAGGGTTTTATAGAACAGC